TTAAAGTCTCTGCCTTGGCTCAGGTCATGATCCCAGGGTCTTGGGATCGAGCCCTGCATCAGGCTCCCAGTTCAGCGGGGAGCCTGCTTCTCCCTCTCCCACTCCCTCTGCTTGTGTTCCCTCTCTTGCTGTCTCTCTCTCTGTCAAATAAATAAATAAATGAACATTTAAAAGAAAAAACATGGTTTAAAAATATTTTATTTATTTTCTGTCAGAGAGAGACAGAACGCAAGCAGGGGGAGTGGCAAACAGAGGGAGAAGCAGGGTCCCTGCTGAGCAAGGAGCTTGATGTGGGACTTGATCCCAGGACGCTAAGATCATGACCTGAGCTCAAGGCAGATGCTTAATCGACTGAGCCACCCACATGTCCCTGTCCTAATCACTTTGACTAATGTCCAGTTTTATTTTTGACAATAACCAAGTCTAAAAACATTCTCATTCATTAATTTATTCATGTATTCAATTAGTCAACAAGTCTTTTTTGGGCATCATTACCAGATGTGTTATGTGTTAGGGATAAAGATATAGAAAACAGGTCCTTTGTTGTTGAGGAGCTCTGTGTCTAAAGGAAGGATAGATATGCAATTATTTTTAAAGAAGATAAGATCTATATGGAACAATATACAGGTAGTTTGGTTATTTTCTTGTTCACCCTCTCCGACCATTTCTTTTCCATCTCGTTTTCCTACTCCTTAAAAGTAGGTGTTCTCCATAAAAGACCTTTGTTCCTTTCTGAGTTTATGTAGTCTCCTAGCAACCATAGGGCTCTCAAACTCTTTTCAACTTACTCTTAAATACCTGTACAGGTTCAGTGATTCCATTTCTTGATTTGATCATGCAACTTATTCTCTCTATATATGAAATACCCTTTCTTCCATATGTGCATGTTCAGTGCTGTCCATACGTTGAGATCCACCTCCTCCACATACTACTTCTCTCTTGTGAAGCCTATCTTGATTCCTCCATAGCTTCTGCTGAATTTCTCCAGTTCTTAAGAGGCAATATAGCAGTGTGGCTAACTGAGCTCTGGTGAAAGATACAGTTGGGTTTGGATTCTAGTTTTGCTTCATTTTCTTTATTTTAAAAATGGAGATTAAAATTGTTATATCTTTATTGGTTGGAAGATCTATCTCTAGCTTGGACTGCTTTCTCAGGGTTCAAGTCCACATTATCTATCTAGTGGGTACATATGACAATCTCAAGCCTAATGTATATGTCCAAAAGGAAACGTTTCTCCCCAAACCTTGGTTTCCTCTGTATCAGTAAACTGTAGCATCATCCTTTCAGTCAATCCAACTTTAAAACTCTCTCTCCCTCCAATGGTTTGCTACTAAAGAAATGATATTCTTATTCTCCCCTGTATTCACAATCATTGTGTGCCAAGTTCTATCACATTAGTTCCTTAACACTGAGATGTGTTAAAGGGATTGTTCTTTCTTGTACCCCTCAGTTCCAATATTCACTGCCCCAGTTAAGTTCTTCGCTCTTTCACAGGTCTTTCCCAACACCTTGTAAACTTTTTATGGATAGTAAATGTGCTTTGTTTGCTTTTGCATCCTCTCATTAAGACTGATCTAGGGGCGCCTGGGTGGCTCAGTGGGTTAAAGCCTCTGCCTTCAGAAGCTCAGGTCATGATCTCAGAGTCCTGGGATCAAGCCCCACATCGGGCTCTCTGCTCAGCGGGGAGCCTGCTTCTCTCTCTCTCTCTGCCTGCCTCTCTGCCTACTTGTGATCTCTCTCTCTGTCAAATAAATAAATGAAATCTTTAAAAAAAAAAAGACTGATCTAAAAGACACTTAATAAATATGTGTTAATTAGTTATTTATATTAAATTTCTCATTAGGCATTGGGAGATATTTTCTAAGAGATAGGGAACTTGGAGGAAGAGTGAACTTTTAATGGCCTTGGAGCATGACTTAAAGATAGTCATAAAGTTGGTAGATGGTTCCCCTGCATCAGGGTTCTAATCTAGACCCCTTCTTTCTTGCCTGAGGGCTCCCAAAAAAGGCAGCAACAGAGCCAAACTTAGGTATTTCGGGCTGAACCTCTTGAGATTCTTGGGTTCTTTTCACTACTTACTTTCCTTGATCCCTCCCCTCTTCCTTCTCATTTCCTGGATTTCAGAGTCCTAGCTCTCAGCTACCTGCGAACTAAACCTGAAGTATGAATTCCATTCAAATGCTGAAGAACTTTCAAGTACTGTACTGGAAAACCTAATGAAGACTGTGTGGCATGGAGGACTGGTTTTCTATCCCTGTCTGAGTTGCTTCTGAAGGTTCATTTATCTTGTTGATGAGTATAACTGGTGCCTGTCAAGGGCCAAGAGGGCCAAAGACGTCATTGTGTTTTTCCTCTGAACATTAAAAAAAAAAGATTTTATTAATTTGAAAGGAGAGAGAGAGACAGAGAGACAGAGAGAGAGAAAGCAGGAGCAGGGGGAGAGGCAGAGGGAGAGAGAGAGAGAAGCAGACTCCCTGCTGAGCGGGGATCCTGGTGTAGGGCTTGATTCCAGGACACTGAGATCATGAACTGAGCTGAAGGCAGACACTTAACTGAATGAGCCACCCAGGTGCCCCTTTTCTGAACTTTTAACTGGGACACTGGGATTCCTCAGAGCTTACATCACAAACTTTAGACAATGGCTCTTGCTCTGCTTACCTTCCCTTTACTTCCCAGCCATATTCCTACCTTCATGTCCACAAAACTAAGTTAACAAACATGTATTGGGCATTTTTGTATGTACTAGGTAATTTAAATGCATTTCCTCATTTAAACTTCAAAACCATATTATAAAGCAGTTACTATTATTATTCTTTGGGAAATTGAGGCCATGTAGCATGCCCAAGGTCAAAGTATTAGAGCTAGAACTCAAATCCAAGTGTGGTAGGCAGATTTCTAGGATGGTCCCCCAATGATGGCTGTCCCTGTGAGGCAGTTTCTGGTGGTATTCATGTCCTTGTGTAATCCCCTTCCCTTGAATGTGACTTGCTTCTGATGCATAGAATACAGCAAAAATGAGGGGATGTCACTTCCGTGATTAAGCTAAAAAATAATGTGACTTCCATTTTGCTAAAAGACTTTATTGCCTTCTCCGCTTGTATGCTTTAAGCAAGCAGCCATGTGGGAAAGGCCCAATGACAAGGAACTGAGTGAGACAGGCCAACAGCCTAGGGGGAATTGAGTCCTGCCCACAATTACATGAGTGAGCTTAGAAGTGGATGCTTTTTTAGTCAAGCTGGCACTTTGATAACAGTCTGTAAAAAACCTGAGCCAGAGGATCCAATCAAGTCATACTCAGATTCCTGACCCACAGAAACTGTGAGATAATGTTGTTTCAAGCCACTAAGTTTTGGAATAATTTATTGCACAAAAATAGATAGTATACCAGGTGGATCTGATTGGCTTCAAGGTTCATGCTCTCCTCAATTTTATAAAGGACAGCTGGGCTAGATAGCTAGGTAGCCCAACCTCCAGCAGTCCAGAGAATGCCCATTATTTTGAGGGTCAGCATCTCTGTTGACAAGGCTGGCTCATTTGCAGTGGTCAAAATCTTCCTCGGGGTATTGCTCCAAATTTGGATGAACACTGGAAGGATCAAGTATTCTTCATTGCATTTGCTACTGCTTGCTATTGCATTTGGAGTGTCACTCTCTCATAGCAACTATTCCACCGAGAGAAATCATATGATAGCTGGGTTTGCTTCTGGAGGGCAAAGACCCTGTTAGATTGACAGACCCTCCCTGGGACTGCCGGCAGAATTCCATGGGGCCAAGAGTTGCAAATGCTGAAATCTTAGTTGGCCTAATGAGGTCTTAGAAAGCCTCTCCTCATCTATGGCCATACCACCCTGAACGCGCCCGATCTCGTCTGATCTCGGAAGCTAAGCAGGGTCGGGCCTGATTAGTACTTGGATGGGAGAAAGCCTCTCCTCTAATGGTGCTCAGCCCTGGCATCACATTAGAATCACCTGGGGAGGGGCACCTGGGTGGCTCAGTGGGTTAAAGCCTCTGCCTTTGGCTCAGGTCATGATCCCAGGGTCCTAGGATCGAGCCCCGCATCCGGCTCTCTGCTCAGCAGGGAGCCTGCTTCCCTTCCTCTCTTCTCTGCCTGCCTCTCCGCCTACTTGTGATCTCTCTCTGTCAAATAAATAAAATCTTAAAAAAAAAAAAAAGAATCACCTGGGGAGCTTTTAAGACATAGGATTCCTGAGCTATACCCCAAACCAATTAGATGAGAACTGTGGTGTGGAAGGGGTGTTGGATCTGTACGTTATACTATGTGTCTTCCTGTTTTCTGTTCTGATCTTTTTCACTTCCTCACATGTTCATTTGTCATCCTACCAGAGAAGTCCTAGCTTAAAATACTTATCGTCCCTCTATCCTTCATTCAGTAAATATTTACGGCCTCATTTCTATATACCAGGTGCTATTACAGCCGTTGGAGATACAATGGCGTGCAAGAAAAAAAAGAACTGGTCTCCAAACATTTTACTTTATGCTCACTCAGTTATTTTACTTTTTTTTTTTTGTAGTTGCTAATTAAAACATGTTTGTCTTGTGGTATGATCTTGCTAAATTATTACCAGTAGGGGTTCCGACAGCTGTAATCGATAGAGTAAGAAGTCGAACGGAAATTTCTTCAATGAAAAAAATCTTCTTGGGTAGGAGGAGCAGAGGGTTTCAGTTACCTCCTCCTAGTGAGGAGAAGCCCCGCCCTCTCTGTTCCACGCTTATTAGTGGGCGGAGCTGCCTTCATTCTTGCACGTAGGAAAGAGGAAGGAAACCCCGCCTCTTACGTGCTTATGGGAGGTGGGGTCGGTGGACTGGGCGTGAGTTGATTGGCTGGGAGGCGGAGCGCCACGGGTAGGCTCCTTCCAGACGCTCGCCGGGATCCCTGTGGAGCGAAAGGAGGGGGGTAGTCCCGGTAGCTCCTGTCCACCAGCGATGGCGTCGCGGTGCCGCGCCCAGTCTCCTGCCTCCCCAACCGTACTCACAGCTATTGGGAGCCCAGTCAGACGGTGAGAATTGACGCGGGTCCGAGAGAGCGGCGGGACGCTGCCTTCTACCGGGACCATGAGGAGCGGTCAGACCTGTGGGGCCGATAGCGGGAGCAGCCGCGGCACCTGCTGAGAGGAAAAGAGGGAGCGGCCGGGTGCGGCGGCGCGGCTGGGGTACGGCGGAGGCTCGCCGGTGCCTCGGCCATGTCACTGCTCTGTGTACGCGGTGAGTGTGTGGACTGGCGGGGAACGGGGCGAGGGTCGTCGAGGTGTCCCCACACGCTTCCAGTGGGCGTGGGGTTACCACCTTTTCCAGACTTCACTTCCCGTTCGTGCCTCGGGGGGCGATTATGTTAACACATTTATAAACATTTAAAGAGGTTCTTTCCACCCTTTCTTGTTTTCCCTCACTCTCTTGTGGGGGACTGTTAACCTCTCCATTTCCGTGGCCATGTGACAGAGTTGTTGGCCGGCAGGCCCAGATCCTATTAAACAGTGACTGGGGCTCTTTTCCAGTGAGAGTGGAATAGCTAGGAAACCGCGAATAGTTGGTGTCAACAGTGGGCAGTCTCCCTTCCTTTTCCCTGCACGTGAAACTGCAGGCGGTTTAGTAGAAGGTTCTTTTTATCGCTATTTAAATGCGATGTAGTACAGCTGTCACATCCCTTCTTCCAGTGTATTTCTTGGCTGGCACCCTCTGTTGCTTGTCTGGTTCCCTGCTTCTCTGTAGTGTAGGATAAGGTTATTCTAATATTCGACTTGGAAAGGTGTGTTGTCTTCTCTCCTTTTGGAGCAGAGCATAAGTCGTATTGACCTATATGTATGTTTATGTATTAGCTTCTGTCACAGTAATCAAAGGGCCTTTATTGCTTTTTCGCTGAGGACGCTTGACCCATCTAAGAAGATATTTTAAGGCAAGAGCTTTGGGGGTTAAGATGAGGCAAGGTGCATGGATTAAGCTCTGTGAGGGTAGAGATTGTTTCTTACAGGTTTTTGTATTCTTGGTGCCTGACACAGGAGCTCAGTACTGGCTTTGAATAAATGCACGGGAGTACTGTGATTTTAGAGATTATCTGATTAGAAAAAGCAGGGCTTGGATTACCCATTGAATTTGATCTTGGACAACTGAAGTTACAGCCTATCATATCAGTGTTCAACAAGATGTAGGATAAGGTGGCTTGATGATGAGAGAAAGAATTTATCTGCAAGAGCCTTTTCCTGGTACCCTTCACTGGATAGAGTTCATGTTTCTTTTGGCTCTGTGGATTAGAAGCATTGTTATTTGTGATTTCTCTGATGGGTGTTTCCCCCAGCTGCTGGCAAAGGGAACTGTTTTGCTCTGCTCTCTTCCACTGTTTTGTTAAATCTCCATTAACCCAAAATGGATTTGACTATTTCCAAGGGATTAGGAGGCAATTTTTTTTCTTCATGGTTGATTTTTCATTAATGAGAATTTTGCTCTGCTTTTAGTAAGACATTTTCTCTAAGCAGCTGGGAATCTATTTATTCCTTTAGATCCCTGCTGTTGAGTAGCAGGATTTGGGAGGTTGGGTTTTGCAATGTCCCTTGGACAGTTTAAATCTCTTCTGCTGTACTGTATTATAGTGCTAGTCCTTATGAAAGACTGTTTAGGCAGCAACTCTATTAAACCAGAAATTCCAATTTAATTGCATTTAAATAACTTCAGAGAAGGAGCTGCTGCAGTTCTAATATTGGGCAACTATCATTGTCTAGAAATTCTATTTAGCTAACTTCTTTCTGTTTTCACATTATATTAGTCGAATCTCTCTTCTTTTGAACCTGGGGGAATTAGAGACCAGCAGGTCATTGTCTTTTGAATGGAGATCCTGAAGATTATTAATTACTGAAACAAGCAGGTACCTCATACAGAAGTATTCATATTAAATGCCAAAGTATCCATTCTGGGAGAACTTACAGAAATGGATCAAAATAAATCTTTCTAAAATGATATTCTTGCATTATATTTTGGCAGTTAGGAATGTTCATGTTATGAAAGAAGCCTGTGTAATGATATTGCAGAACTCAATATCAGTTCATCTTGGTGTAGAATTGAATTAGAAACTTTTCCCCCGTAGTCAAAGTTCAAACAGTAGTAGAAACTGGTGTAGAAATTGGCAAACTGGTATTTAGTTATCTCCAGACATCTAAAGAAGTCAGTTTCGGGTGCTCCTCCTTGGGTGTAGAGATTCTTAAAAAACGAAAACAAAACTTCATTCCAGAGGACAGAATTGGGACAAGTTGACCAGTGGTTGAAAATGATAAGAAACTCTACATCTCTCCTGAGAAGTACAAAATTACCAAAGACACAGTATCATTGGAAATCACTAGAAGAGGGGCACCCGAGTGGTTCAGTCGGTTTAACATCTCCCTTCGGTTGTGGGATTGAGTCCTGCATTGGGCTTCCTGCTCAGTGGGGAGTCTACTTCTCCCTCTGCCCCTCCCCCAACTCATGGTCACATGCTTTCTCTCTCTCTCTCTCTCTCTCTCTCTCTCTCACTCACTCAAAAATAAATAAAATCTTAAAAAAGTCAGTTTCTGTCCATATACACTATGGAGTATTATGCCTCCATCAGAAAGGATGAATACCCAACTTTTGTAGCAGCGTGGTCGGGACTGGAAGAGATTATGCTGAGTGAAATAAGTCAAGCAGAGAAAGTCAATTATCATATGGTTTCACTTATTTGTGGAGCATAACAAATAGTATGGAGGACAAGCGGAGATGGAGAGGAGAAGGGAGTTGAGGGAAATTGGAAGGGGAGGTGAACCATGAGAGACTATGGACTCTGAAAAACAATCTGAGGGTTTTGAAGGGGTGTGGGGTGGGAGTTGGGGGATCCAGGTGGTGGGTATTGGAGAGGGCACGGATTGCATGGAGCACTGGGTGTGGTGCAAAAATAATGAATACTGTTACGCTGAAAAAATAAAAAATTAAAAAAAAAAAAGTCAGTTTCTTGGTATAACCCTTTAATCATGTCTTTTTGCCTATGGGTTAAGGTCTCTTTTTTGGCCCTATATTTTTGCCTATCCTTATACAGATATTTAGCTATAGCACTAACTCTGCTCATTCCTGCCTTTGCACCACTGTTCTGCATTTGTACCCCCTGAAATATTCTTTTTGAATTTTCTGCTTATCAAAAATGTTTTCTTCCTTTCCCAGCATACGGTCTACTTTTTTTTGTTGTTGTTGTTGAAATGTTCCTGAGTTCCTGTCCTCAGTGATCTTTTTTCTCCTTTACACTTTTAAACTATAAATGCCTTTAAATATAAATTACTTATGGGCTGAACAGTACTACTAATTTGTCAATGAATTGTATACTGTTGGGCAACTTTTCTTTTACTGTTTATGGTGACCCAGACAAAGAAAATAGTGACAGTGGTCAGATCAGATCTGGAATTTTGTGTTCATTTGGGGTATTTGATTCTAAGAGGCACATTGAGAAAATAGAATTTCTTCAGAGGAGAATCATTAGAATAATGAAGGGGGTAGAAAACATTTGAGGAATTGAGAGGTTTAGTTTTGAGATAATTTAAGAGGGGAAGTATCATAACAGATGAAAATTGTTTTAAAAAACTTCATTGCAGGGGTGTCTCTCTGGCTCAGTCCATGAAGCATGCGACTCTTGACCTGGGGGTTGTGAGTTTGAGCCCCAAGTTGGGTGTAGAGATTACTTAAACAAAAATAAAACTTCATTCCAGAGGGCAGATCTGGGGCAAGTTGACCAGTGATTGAAAATTATAAGAAACTCTACATCTGAAACTAATGATGTACTATATGTTGGCTAATTGAATTTAAATTAAAAAAATTAGAAGAAATGATATTTACTTATTTATTAATTAATTAAATATTTTATTTATTTGTTTGACACAGAGAGAGAGAGAGATGGAGAGAGAGGGAACACAAGCAAGGGGAGTGGGAGAGGGAGAAGCAGGCTTCCTGCCAAGCAGGGAGCCTCATATGGGTGTGTGGGGGGATCACAGGACCCCGGGATCATGACCCGACCCAAAGGCAGACGATTAATGACTGAGCCACCCATGCGCCCTGATTTTTAAAAATTTTTTTTAAACTTTGAGGTTTTTTTTTTTTTTTTTTTAAGTTTTTTTTATTTATTACTTGACAGAAAGAAAGCGAGAGAGGGAGCAGGGGCAGTGGGAGAGGGAGAAGCAGGCTTCCCGTTTAGGATCCTGGGCTTCATTTGGAGGCTTGATGTGGGGCTGGATCCCAGGACCCTGGGATCATGAACTGAGCCAAAAGCAGATGCTTCTCGACTGAGCAACCCAGGCGCCCCAAGAAATGATTTTAGTTTAAAGTAAGGAAGAACGTTAAATTAGAGCTGTTCTTAAAGGGAATGGACTACTTATGATTTTTTTTTTTTTTTTTTAAGGACATTTTAAGCAGAAACTGAATGAGTGGTAAGAATGTTCTGAAAGACATTGAGTGGGAGGTTGGACTTGATGAATTTTAAGAAACCGCCTTTTCATAGAATTCACTTAGTTTTTCTTTAAAAATTTGGCACAACTTTCTTCATACTACTGATATCTTTTTGCTTCCAAAAGGTCTAATACCACATGAGCAACTTGAGTAAAGGATTTTCTTTAACTTTTGGTGTCTTGGTATTTGTCAGTAGTTTTTCCCAACAAATTATAAGCATTTTGAGAATTGAGTCTTTCTATATATATATATATATATATATATATATATATATATATA